CTGTGACCCACCATTTGTGTGAAAGCCTTGCACAGGAAAGCGCAACTCAAGGGCCCACTTGTTACCAGGAGCCACAGAACAAGCAGAAGGGGGCCACCTCCAAAGCCCGCCTGAGCCTGGTTAGGGGTGGGGCCTGAACGTCCTAGAGAAGTTGCTGGAGTTCCCAGCATCCCAGGGCAATCTTGGCTACATATGGCACATGAGAGAGGCCTAGAGTACCCAGCTCCCCAGTCCACAGAGGGCCAGTCTCCTCTAGGCCACCGCCACCCTGAGAATCCTGCCGAGATCAAAGCTGGGACCCAGAGCTGGGTGTGGGCAGAATTCCTGCTGGGTTTGTCTAGGCAGAAGAATTCTTCCCTCAACTCCCCTCCCTGAGGCAAGGGTTTTGTGCAGAGTTGCTGGGGCTCGTGCTGCTCTACCTGCCCTTCCCCATCCTGCCAATTCTGGCTCAACACTGGCCATGGGGCTGCCAACCATCGCCCTGGGAATAGGTGACTCATGCCTCAGCTATTGCTTCCACTTTTCATCTGCAAAGATGAAGATAGAGCAGCTTTCTTTCTCTCCTGGAGGGGGACATGGTGGCTGGGGGGATCCTAGTGAGCTCAGGTGGAGAGTGGCTTCAGGGCAGGGATAGGGGGAAGGAATGAAGGGAAGCCCAAAGAATGAAGAGTCATGAACTATGTCTTCAAAGGGTGCCCAGGTGGAAGGGGACAAGAGACCTGGGAATTGGATCCAGGGAAGGAAGCAGGGGCTACAACACTCTGGGCTTTGGCATGGACTGGACAGGGCCTCACACAAAGATCGAGGGGAGGAGTAGAGGGAGATGACCTATGTCTGTCAGTTTCATTTAAAACGTGTTTGCTGAGCACCTCCAGTGTGCAGGGTTGGCCATGTGAGGGGGAGCCAGATGTGTCCCTTAACCTTGGGAAGTGTACTGTCCTGTGAGACCTGGAGAACATGTGCAAAACAGTAAGTGTCTGTGTTACCTCCATACCCCCTCTATAAAAGGCATGCAGGCTGCTGTGGCAAATCTAGGAGGGAGCCCTGGGCTGGTATTGCAGGATTTACCTAATCCTTGCCCCATGGATGCTTGGGCCAGTCTACTCCCTGCCTGGTCTGGGAGGTGCGCCCCTTTTTAGAAACACTGCCCCTCTTCTCCGTCCCTGTGCACCTCTGTGAGGAAGGCCTGGGCAGTTCTGGTCCCCCTCTGCAGGGACACCTGCCTGCAGGGTCAGCCACGACAGCTCACTTAGCCTTGCACTCGTCTTTTGTGGGTGAGAAAAATGATGCCTGGTACAGTTAAAATGTGTCCTGCCAAGTCTTGGTAACTGCCTCTGTGGGCACTGGGTGAGCTCCGTGTAATCCCTCTGTTCCTGCCACAGTGAAATTCCAGGTTGGGGCGGGACTCTCCCACACTGCCATGTGAGTGCCTGGCTCCCCTCAGGGGAGCCTCTCCATTGTTCATAGCTGTCCGGTCTGGCATCGTGGGAGGGGCTGCCCTGCCTGCTGGGGGAGAGGGCTCCCACAAAGCTGGACAGAATAGTGTTGCTGCTCCACTGCCCCCCAGTCAGGCACCCAGACACTCCCTGCCACAATTCCTTGCCACCCACACACCATTGGTCCCCGTCATCTGAATGAGCGCTTGACACAATCTAGTGATTCTCAGGCTGGCCAGAAGGCATTCCTGTTCCACCAGGTCCTTCCTCTTGCACAGCACAGCAGGGAGGAGGATGAACGGAAAGAAGAAAATGTCCCAGCATCTCAAGAAGGTGGAGCTCCTCCAAGGGCAGTGAGGACTGTGGCACAACACCCAGGACCTATGTGTGTGGGACATACCCTGAGGGTGACTTTCCAGTGGAGAAGAGAACTCATACTAGTCCCCGGACACCTGCTTTAAGCTCGCATCGATTCTATCAAGGGCTGAAGGGCCACCCCCCACCCCCATATGCCTCAGGGCCTCTGAGACACTCACATATGTTCCCTGAGAGGCCACAATGTGTACAATTGGTAAACTCATTAAAATTCACCTCTGAGAGTCTCAAGAATTTCCCAGGCAGGAGGCAGCCTAACTTCATTGCCCAGAACCTGTAAGGTAGCTCGGGCCATCGATCTGTCTGTCTGGATTTACCTGTCCGCTGCTTTCCCATCACAGCCCCCGGTGAGCAATCACAGCCCCAGCAGCTCCGAGTGATTTTCCCACAGCCGTGCCTTCCTCGAGGCCAAAGGACAGGTCCTGACTAGAGATTCCAGAGCTCAGGCTGGGTCCCCACTCCTTTACTCTTAAGAACATAGCCGCTCAGCTCCGAGGCTTCCAAGCCATTCCCACCCCACCCCTACCTCCAACCCCAGCCCAAAGGTGTACCCCCCTCCCCCATAGCTCTTAATGACCCAAGCGCTGCCTGAGAGCCCTGCTTTTGTTTGGGGGAGGCAAAGAGGTGGCTCCATTCAGGTCTGTAGCCAAAAAGAGGAGGTGTGGTTTAGGACAGACATTTGCCAAAGCCTAACGGACCCCTCTCTTCCACCTGGTGCCACAGCCCACCCAAACAAGGTTTGCAGAGGAACTCATAAGGGGCCTCCCCTCAAACAACTGGAGCAGGTGGTTATGCCAGCTCCCTGTACCCCTAACCTGCTCTGTCTAGTCTCGCTGGCAGGACAACCCAAAGACTTAGAATTCAGTTTTCCATTGCCCGGGCCCCAAAGGAAACTTTGGGTCGGAGCCCAGAGAAAGCGCAGCAGTTCCCGCTGCTCGAGCGGGTGGTTCTCCGTTATAACAGGCCGGCGGATTCTCAACATGTTCCTGATGAGATTAGAAGCTCCTGCAGGTATGTGTTTGTGGCGGCCCTCAGCCTGTATCAACAGATACTCGATGACTCACTCCTTGCTATTGGCATAACCCAGGGCTTGCTGGAACACACCTGGGGGGCTGGGATCAGGCAGAGCAGCTCCCCCTGAAGAGAGACGTGACTGCCAGGCTGAGTCTCAGGACTTCTGTGAGAGATCGCAGGAACCCCTGGGTTTGCTCACCCTGCGGGGTCCTGTCCAGGTCCACGTGCCAGGGACAAGGTCAAATGCCACAGAAAATGATGAATCAAGAGGAGCTGTGGAGGGAGGGCTGCCCCTGCAGAGAGCAGAGTAGTACAAATCAGGGACTGAGCTTGGAGCTGAGAGCCTTTCTGGCCCGAACCTTGCAGGAGAATCTTCCCCTAGGCCTGAGGGGATGACTGTGTCTCCCCCAAGTAAGGACGTTCTGCAGCAAAGAATAGATCTATTTTCCTCCAGTTCATAGCTGAGATATCAGGCCATAGATGCCTGCCAAGTGCTGAAAATCCTTGCAGCAACCTCCTGAGAGAGTGAGAAGGGCCGATTACTGCAACTGGGGACTCACTTTGTCACTTACGGACAGTGCATATTGTGCTGGGACGGTTGACAACACCCCTGGTCGTGTAAGGATCTCTCGGGACATTGGCCAAGTGCCCCCTTGCTTCCTGGCATATCTGTCTTGGGCTGGTCCCAGCTTTGGGCCCCAAAGGGGAAGTGCAACTTGCTGCCAAGGCATCAGCGCTGCAAGGCAGAGTTATTCCTAACTGAGCGGAGCCTGCCAGGAAGACTGCGTTTGCACCCCGCACCATCTGCAGGTGTGACGGTGAGCTCACAGCTGCCCCCCAGGCGTGCCCAGCCCACTTAATCATTTCACAGCTCCACAACTGTCCCGCCCAGCCCCGTTCTAGTATAAAAGGGGGAGTGCAGGGCCAGGTAACAGAGCCACCTTCTGCATCCTGCTGAGCTCTATTCTCTCCCGCGCATTCCAACCTCCAATCTCTAGTGCCCTTTCGTCTTGCTCCTCCAGGAACAAGCCATCATGTCTCGCCAGTCAAGTGTGTCCTTCCGGAGTGGGGGCAGCCGCAGCTTCAGTGCCGCCTCTGCCATCACCCCGTCTGTCTCTCGCACCAGTTTCACCTCTGTGTCCCGATCCGGGGGTGGTGGTGGTGGTGGCTTTGGCAGGGTCAGCATTCGGAGTGCTGGTGGGGCTGGAGGCTATGGCAGCCGGAGCCTCTACAACCTGGGGGGCTCCAAGAGGATCTCCATGAGCAGTAGTGGTGGTGGCTTTAGAAATCGACTTGGTGCCGGTGTTGGAGGTGGCTATGGCTTTGGAGGTGGAGCCGGGAGCGGATTTGGTTTAGGCGGTGGATCTGGTGGTGGCTTTGGGCTTGGTGGAGGTGGTGGCTATGGGTTCATGGGAGGCGCTGGTCTTGGAGGTGGCTATGGGGGCGCTGGCTTCCCCGTCTGTCCCCCTGGAGGCATCCAAGAGGTTACTATCAACCAGAGTCTCCTGACTCCCCTAAACCTTCAAATCGACCCCACCATCCAGCGGGTGCGGACTGAGGAACGGGAGCAGATCAAGACCCTCAACAACAAGTTCGCCTCTTTCATCGACAAGGTAGGACCTGATCCTTTGTGAAAAACTGTTATGAGTGTGGAACAAATACCAAAGAATGTAGGGAAAAGAACAACTTCTGCCTTTGTGCAAATACCTCCTAGTTGGCAGTTGATGTGTTTCTACTTGTTTCTGTCCCGGAGTTGTGGCTCACTTTCCTAACTAGACTGGCAGTTTGGAAGACAGGGTCTTAGTTCTTCCTGTTTAATTACTCCATGCGGGCTCCTTGGTTACTGTTGGGCAAAGAAAGGAATTCTGTGCTTCATGGAATGGGGCTGCTTGCATAGAAAGGTGGATGAGTTCATCGAGCAGTAGCCCGAGAGCCTTCACAGCCACCACTACTCTGGACCCCACTCTGCCCAGCCGTGCCCAGTGCTGTCTGTGCCCTGTCTCCCCATGAGAGTGAGGTTAGGTGCTTCACTCTGTGCCTCCCCTCCCAGGGCCCAGCTCCAGGGACTGCCATGGGAAATGTTTAGGAGGAGAGCATGAGAAGGAAGAGAAGCTGGTGATGATCACTGAGACATGAAATCCAGGTTTCTCCATCCTCAGACTCTGTGCCTTCCAGGTGCGCTTCCTGGAGCAGCAAAACAAGGTCCTGGACACCAAATGGACCCTGCTGCAGGAGCAGGGCACCAAGACCGTGAGGCAGAACCTGGAGCCTTTGTTTGAGCAGTACATCAACAACCTCAGGAGACAGCTGGATGGTGTCCTGGGGGAGAGGGGCCGCCTGGACTCAGAGCTGAGGAACATGCAGGATCTGGTGGAGGACTTCAAGAACAAGTGAGATGGGGTGGAGTGGAGACTAATGTCTTCTTGGCACCAGATGTACTTGATAACCAGATTACCGCTTATGCCTTTCCTGGGGGCTAGGCACGTTTGCCTTCCATGGACACCTGAAGTACTGAAATAAAATCCAGGTCCATGTCTAGAAAGTTCCAGCCCCAAGCTCAATCCCTTTGCAAGGCATTTAGCCACTGGCCAGAGCAACAAGCTTGATGCCCTTCGGGAAATATCAAGCAGTGTATTTCCTGCTCTTTGGGGCTTTCCTTCCCAATACACTCAGAATACACACTGTGTGATGGATTGCCTCCAATGCAAGAACTGATGACATGACTCACCTTGATGGCTCCAGTAATTTTTTTAGTCCATGTGCTGCTAGTTGTTTGTTGTCGTTGTTTTAAAAAGTGTGAAAGCTGAAAAAAGCATTAGGGAAATTGAAAAATAGGTTTCTATAAGCATATTCTTCAAGCAATTGAATTACAGCAATAATAGTTAAAATAGATGGGTAGTTAATAGATGGGCAGTTAAAAAGGAAATGGCGATCCTAATGAATAAGGCCCTTTCCCAGGAGGTCACACTCCCAGTGCTCCCTCTCTCCCTGCTTTCATGAGATGAGGAGAGAGGCCCCTTTCCAGTGGGGAAGCAGACTCACAGTTGACTTTCTGCAATAAAGACCCTAGGCTTCACCTGCCCCTCATCTTCTAATAAGCCTTCCGTTTTTTTTTTACCCCCAGGTATGAAGATGAAATCAACAAGCGCACCACTGCTGAGAATGAGTTTGTGATGCTGAAAAAGGTGCGTGGGTAGAAGAGAACCTGTTGCCTGTGGCTAAGCTGTCTTAGGGTGGCATTAATTTAAGTCAGGGTGGAAATCGGGTGTAGTGCCAACCATCCCTGTATCTCTAGGATGTGGACGCCGCCTACATGAGCAAGGTGGAGCTGGAGGCCAAGGTCGATGCACTGATGGATGAGATCAACTTCTTGAAGATGTTCTTTGAGGCGGTAAGAAATGCCCCCTACTCGGGCCCCAGAAAGATGGTCACTGGATCACCACCAGGGATTAGGTTATCCAGATTAAGTGACTTTCAGTGGCTCTGAAGCTGTGGACACACCCTTGTCCTTTCTATCCCTTTAGTACTATTCAAACTATTACTGATAAAGCCAATCCTTTAAAAAAAAAAAAAAAAGCCAAATTTAAAGCAAATTCTTCAGCCATCATTTTGACGAGTAAGGCCTAGAGTGAGTTATAGGCACAGTATGCCTTTCCCAAACCTCTCCTCTTTAGTTTGTCCCAGTGTGGCAGACCAGTCAACTAGATTCTTTTAAAATAAGTTCTGACCCAAGAAGATGGGTCATAGCTCACATCTGAGAGATTACACAGTAGGAATTTCTAAAAGGTTCAGAGTGGTTAAAGTTTTTTAATGATGGTTTGTATTATTAACATAACTAGATGTTTGATATAGGTGGTTATTATTTTTTCTCAAGCTAATGTACCACAATGAGTGGAATATTTGAATGGACCTGACATAAAATTACACAGATTCAGATGACTGACTTCAAGTCTCCTTGCAGGAGCTGTCCCAGATGCACACGCACATCTCAGACACATCTGTGGTGCTGTCCATGGACAACAACCGATCCCTGGACCTGGACAGCATCATTGCTGAGGTCAAGGCCCAATATGAGGACATTGCTAACCGAAGCCGGACGGAAGCCGAGTCCTGGTACCAGACCAAGGTGAGTGCTGTGGTGAATGTATCCTGAGTGAGGGGATGCAATTGTGTCTGGGGATTCCAGGCCACAGCAACATGCTAAGGTCTCCTGAGATCTGCTGAAAACTCTTGGGTTGAGTTATAAGGACAGTCACATGTGCCTTTGCCACAAAAATTCAAGAACCTTAAGGAGAATCTCACACCAGTGTCTCCAGGAGAGCAAAAGCACTAAAGAGGAAATTTTCTAAGACCAGGCCCACCTCAATAAAGTGGAAACTAGCCCCAGGCCTCAGATAACACCACCACTTGCCACCTCTTGGTATCTCCTGCCCATGAACATTGGGAAAGTGCTTCCATCCTCATATAAATGGAACTTTTTCTCTTTTCTGGTGGCACCAGTACGAGGAGCTTCAGCAGACAGCTGGTCGGCACGGTGAAGATCTCCGCAGCACCAAGCACGAGATCTCTGAGATGAACCGCATGATCCAGAGGCTGAGAGCGGAAATTGATAACGTCAAGAAGCAGGTAGGGAGAGGTCAAAAGAAGGCAACGAGGAGACCTGAGTTTTGAATATGGTGTGTGTGTGTGTGTGTGTATGTGTGTGTTTAAAACATTTTCCTTGTTTTAAACACACACACACACACACACACACACACACACACAGGCACGCATGCACGCATGCACGCATGCACAGAGAGCTGGAACAAGAACCAGCGTTTCAATGTTCTCCCATCTACAATGACCAGGATAAATGTACTGACTTCTCTGTGGGAACTCAGAAAGAGACACCACAGGCCCAGCCCACTACTAATGTGTCCACTTTTCTTCCTTTCCCTGTGTAGTGCGCCAACCTGCAGAATGCCATCGCTGAAGCCGAGCAGCGTGGGGAGATGGCCCTCAAGGACGCCAGGAACAAGCTGGCTGAACTGGAGGACGCACTGCAGAAGGCCAAGCAGGACATGGCCCGGCTGCTGCGTGACTACCAGGAGCTCATGAACACCAAGCTGGCCCTGGATGTGGAGATTGCCACCTACAGGAAGCTTCTGGAGGGCGAGGAGTGCAGGTGGGCAACGTAGGGCTGACATTACAAGCCCGGGATGGCCTCACATTTGATAAGTAGAGCTTCTTCTCTAGGATAGCGTGTAAAACACACACACAATGAGCACTATCTTGTGCATGATAATTAACCATCATTAGTCTGGATTCAATCTGACACCTGGGCATACAGCTGACCTACATAAAAGGGTCCCAATTCAATTTTCTAACCCAATTCTCACCACTGGTATTTTCAGATGCTGCTCCTTTCGAACAATTAAGCAACTCAATCAATGTCCTACCCATTTTTTTCAAGTACCTTTTCCTTCAGAAGCCTTGCATGATCCCCCCGACCAAGTTAAATCCATCTGCCTTTGAATTCTCAAGCTACTCTGTTTTCTTCAATCTTCTAACACTGCACTCTGCCTACTTTCTCATAGAAGTATTTTTGTCCATGCCAAGTCCTCTCACAGAGTGTAAGCTCTTGCAAAGCAAAAACTGCCTCATACATTTTCATAGCTCCTACAGTCTCTTAGCCATACTTTAAATACAATGGGTGGAGGAGAATGTGAATTATAATTTTCCCTTTGAAACTTGGTTTTAGGCCAGGTCCTTTTCTTTGGGAAGTCCCTTCAGAGATTTATATTTTTCTCTAAATTTAAGCAGGATATGGGGTGGGTTTTTTGTTTGTTTATTTGTCTGTTTATTTGTTTTGTGGGTATGTTTTTGGTGATTTTTTTGGTGGTTTGTTTTTGTTTCTTTGCGAATATGGCTGGCAGCTTATAGATCAAGCTTTAAACAAGACTAGGGGTATTGTCTTTGGAGGAGTTTTTAACTCTTATTTCAATTGTTTCCTTTCAGACTGAGTGGAGAAGGAGTTGGACCAGTCAACATCTGTAAGTAACTTTAAACAAATATTAACAGTGATAATAATAATATGCAGTGTTTGGTGCCACCTCAGAATCTTGCTATTTCTGGATTCCAAATATTCCCCATCCCAATAATTGGTCATTTCATACACTTAGTGGGGGGAAAGGATACATTTTGAGACTTGAAGTGATCTTATCTCTTAAAGGGTAGGACTGTATCTTACATATCTTGTACCCTGCCCCCCTGCCATGGTCCCCCCTTCTCCACCCCTCCTACCCCTCCTCCTGAACTTAGCACCATCACTTGTCTACTATGTTCACCAACTTCCTGTTAGGGACCTTAAGTAAAAGACTTAGTTCTCCTGGGTCTCATTTGCTATGCTGTAAAGGGGCCAGGTACAGTGCTTATACTAGCAGGATCAAATATTTTGGACTTGAAGGATTAATCTGGCAGACTGCTCTCACCAAGTTCTCCTTCCTTTCTCCGCAGCTGTCGTCACCAGCAATGTCTCCTCTGGCTATGGAGGTGGCTATGGTGGCTATATTCCTGGCAGCGGCCTCGGTGGAGGTCTTGGCGGCGGCCTTGGTGGAGGTCTTGGCAGCGGCCTCGGTGGAGGTCTTGGTGGTGGCAGTGGAGGTGGTTATGGATTAGGTATTGGTACTGGCCTTGGCAGTGGGCTCAGTATGGGGGGCTCTAGCTTCAGTTCGAGCAGTGGCCGAAACATGGGGATCAGCGGCAGTGGTGGAGGAGGCAGCAGCTCCAGCGTTAAATTTGTCTCCACCACCTCCTCCTCCCGGAAGAGCTTCAAGAGTTAAGAGCCTGCTTACTGCAAGTCACTGCCACCCCCGGCAGCAACCGGCCCCTGGAGACTGCCTCTTCTAGGTAGTTACCAAGCCAAGATTTCTCTTTTGCTGATGTGTAGTTCAGAACAAGCCTATAGCAGAACCACAGTCTTTGGTTCCCTAAATGTCCAATCCCTGGTCTCTAATCTCCTAGATCCTATATTCTTCAAATCAGCCTTTCGTGGTCCTTGATGAGAGAAAAATCCAAAGTTTTCCAGTATCTAAATCATCAAAACAGAGACCCCCCCCACCCCAATTAAAAAGTTTTGTTCTGGTTCTGACTGCCTTCAGAGTGTGTTCAATAAAAATGCTTTTATAATATAAATTGCTGTGCCGAATTATTTTTTCAGTCTACAGTCCTGAGGGTCACTCTGTCCAGGTGTGATTGGTTTCTTTGATGATTCACAGAGAGAATGGGGTGTGGCCATCCTGAGTGGTCCAGAAGCTCCAGGAGGCATGAGAGGAGCTTGCTGATGCTTCAGGAATAAAGGACTTTCTGGAGGGGATGAATGGGAGTGTCCATTGTATTGCAATTTGGACAAACTGTAGATTTGTTAAGAAATAGCTATTGATCTTTTCAGCACCCACAATATTAGAGCAGGCCCAACATCTTTTAGGCCTTTTTGGGTTCTGAAGAAACCATATTCCTAATGTAAATTTTACTTATGCCAATTAATACTGTTACTTGAATGTATATTTCTCTCATGATACTAGTAAAGCTTTCTGAAAAGAGGAAGTTGGTCCAAATATGCTGGGAAAGAGCAGGAAAGGAGACTGTAGTGGAATTTTTATGGTGGTTGGGTTGGGGCCAGGTTTGAAGTTCCCACCAGACACAAAGAAGAAATTACTCTGGCTTTCTTATTCATTTTCTCAGATGTCAGTAGAAGAGGGAGAGGGAAGAGTGGAGCTTAGAAGCCCTCAAATGCCAAACATCAGTGCAGTAAGGCTAGTTTGACATTTTTGAAAAATAATGTAATGCACAACTTTAATAGAATAAAATAAATCAAATGATCATTTCTTTCCCAAACCAGACAACATGCATTATCCTTAATAGTGAATGATCAAGTTTCTCATTGACATTAGAAAGGAAGCAAAGATAACTATAATCATCACAATTACTCAGTATTATACTGGATGTGATAGCCAGTGAAATAAGACAAGACAAAGAAATAAACATCTTAAGAATTAGAAAGAAATAAATCAAATTATAGTTATTCACTAATAACATAATTATATACATAGAAAATAAAAAGTTCTCCAAACTATTAGAATAAGTAAGTGAATTCATCAAGGTCACTAGAACACCAATACAAAAACTATTGTATTTCTGCATATTAGCAAGAAACAATTAGAAAATAAAATTTAAGGTACTATTTCCAATAGCATCAAAATTATCTAATATCTATCCCACATGAATGGCTCAGTTGGTTGAGCATCGTCCTGTGCACTGAAAGGTCATTGGTTCAATTCCCCGTTAGGGCATGTTCAGAAGACAACTGATCAATATTTCTTTCTCACATTGATGTTTTTTCTGTGTATCTTATTTGTACAAGTGTCTGTAGTGTTTGGCCTATTTTCTAATTGGGTTGTTAAGTTTTCTTATTGTTGAGTTTTATTTATTTTTTTAAAATATATTTTATTATTTTTCACAGAGAGGAAGGGAGAGAGATAGAGAGCTAGAAACATCGATGAGAGAGAAACATCGATCAGCTGCCTCTTGCACACCCCCTACTGGGGATGTGCCCACAACCAAGGTACATACCCTTGACCGGAATCGAACCTGGGACCTTTCAGTCTGCAGGCCGACGCTCTATCCACTGAGCCAAACCGGTTTCAGCTTATTGTTGAGTTTTAAATATTCTGTCTCTCTCCTTCTTTAAAATCAATTAAAAAAAAAAAAAGCTGAAACTGGTTTGGCTCAATGGATAGAGCATCGGCTTGGGGACTGAAAGGTCCCAGGTTTGATTCTGGTCAAGGGCATGTACCTTGGTTGCGGGCATATCCCCAGTAGGGGGTATGCAAGAGGCAGCTGATCGTTGACACTCTCTCATCAATGTTTCTAACTCTCTCTCTCTCTTCCTCTATGTACAAAATCAATAAAATATATTAAAAAATAAAAATAAAATAAAATCAATAAAAATATATTTTTAAAAATTGTATACCTACATCTCACTCATATATAGAAAACCACAAAAGCTTATTGGAAATGACTAACAAAAACTTAAAAACACATACACATAAACAGAGGTACATGCCACATGTGTGAATTGGAAAGCTT